CTTTGACGTATTATCATCCACAACTACTTGTGTGTAGGCTCTATCTAGATCTAAAGTTGTGAAAAATCTTCCTCCAGCTATGGTAGCGAAGACTTAATTTGCCGTGGGTATGGGATAAATATCCGACTCTGTTGCTTTATTAACTGTACTGCGGTAATCTCCACATAAACGAATCTCACCAGTTTTTTTTATTATTGGCACAACTGGTGTGGCACACTCCGAAAAAGTCGTTGGACGTAAAATTCCTTCCCTTTCTAGACGATCTATTTCCATCTCTACTCTTTGCTTTATAGCATATGGTACAGGACGCGCTTTTACAAATTTTGGGATAACTCCTGGTTTAATGTGTATTGTTACTGTCCACGGTAGGTACTGAAAGGATCTTTGAATACCTCTTTATGTTTCAATAATACACTATCCATTTCCCATAACTCAGCACTAGAAACATAATTGACATTCATAGTAATGTTAAGTGGTTTCAGCCAGTCTCGACCCTGAAGGTTGGGCCCATTACCCTTCGCTACTATAACACATAGGTCCTTCGAAATATTCTTGTAATACACAGGCAACACAATTTGCCCAAGAAGTTTGACCGGTGTTTCTGTCCAGGTCCGCAACGATATTGCAATAGGTTGCAACACAGCATCCGATAATTGAGAGTGTATTATGTGCCATGTCTGCTCGTTAATTAGAGAATAACTAGCTCCTGTATCAACTTGCATATGGATTGGTACGCCTGCAAGTGACAACTCCACTTCGTATGGTGGAACACGGCTATTAGTATGAACGCAATAAACTCCATTTAAATGATCATCTGATTCTGATATATACTTTATTTGCTGAGAAGAATTCTGCTTCTTACTTATGCAAATTTTCTCCAAATGTCCTTATTTCTTGCAATACCGACACACTGTATTTACAAAACGACATTCTCCTGAATGGCGGTCACCGCAACGATAACAAAAGCGGACATTTGCTCTTGATTGTACAGCATTTATATCCATCGGTTCACTTGTACCACTCGCTGAACTGTATGGTAATGATAGTTCTGATTGAGTCATAGCTCCTGTTGTGTTGCCTTGAATCATACGAACATCTCGCCCTGCACTTTCGGCTGATAACATCGCATCAACTACATCTTGATAACGCAAATTGTCTCGTTTTAATAACTCATATTGCAGTTTACTGGCACACATACCGCATACCAATCTATCCCCTAACATTCTTTCTAAGTCAGTAAAATTACACCCGAACTTAGTTTTCGTAAATGAGCAATGTATTCTGAAGCGCCTTCATCACGTTTTTGATCGCAATTATATAATTTATAAGACAGAAATTTCGTTAGGTTTTGGGCTGTAATGATTTGTTAAAATTATTTCTATTTCACTGAATGTCACATCAACCGCTTTTTGTGAAAACACACTGTGAAAAAATTTGCTCTTTTAGCAGAATCTAATATGACGCCGTTAGCCTTGAAACAAAATTTTAAACGGTCTAGATTATTGTCCCGACTGTTTGAGGATTGTACTCATCGAATTTCACTGATTTTATGTCCATTTTTAACACTTCACCACTCGTCGCCACTAATATGTTCAGAATATAGAATAAAACACATTGGTTGAATATTGTTATGTATTAAGCTTGGTAGCATTACAAAAGACAAGTGTCATAAGTGAATATTAAATTACCTTTTTTATTTTTTTATAGGAGAGGGGGTAAACGAGCATGCGGCTAACCTGATGGTAAGTGACTACCGCCGCCCTTGCACAACCGCAACACCAGGGGAATTGCAGATGCGTTGCCGGCCTTTTAAAAAGGAGTAGGCTCTTTTCTTGAAGGCACTAAGTCGTATCGGTCCGGAAAAATCGCTGATGGTAATCGATTCCACAAGGAAGTCGTGCGAGGAAGAAAACGTCTTCTAAATCGCACAGTTGAGGACCGCCAATCATCCAGATGGTGTGGATGGTATCGGGAGTTCTGCCGCGATGTGCGTTCGTGAAATTTGGAGGCTGGGATTAATCCGAACAATTCCTCAGAGCACGCTCCGTGGTAGATGCGAAAGAAAATGCAAAGGGATGCAACATCTCTTCGCAGTGCCAATGAATCGAGCCGATCGGAAAGGACTCGTTCGTCGACGATTCGAGCCGCTCTGCGCTGGATGCGGTCAAGTGGAAGGAGCTGGCAATGGGGAGCCCCTGCTCAGAGTTGGGGACAGTATTCCATTTGAGGCCGAACCTGCGCCTTGTAAAGTTGCAGGCGTTGAGCCGGCATGAAATACTGTCCCGCTCTGCTGAGCACGCCAAGCTTTTTAGAGGCCAATTTGGCCTTCTCTTCCAAGTGACCACGAAACTGCACGTCACTCGATATGTCGACTCCGAGGATTCCGATACTGGCTGAGGCAAGAAGGGGAGTGCCTTGAAACTGAGGAGATACGACAAAGGGGTTCTTTTTAGCGGTAAACGCGCAAACTTGTGTCTTCTGAGGATTAAACTGGACTAAATTTAGTCGCCCCCAATCCGAGAATTTGTTCAACAAAGACTCGACTTCAGACACAAGTTTGTTCCGGTACTCAGCGACGTTTTCCCGAGAAATATTGGCACGGCCGGTGTATAAAGCATCACCAGTGCTGTCAGGCTTGTGGAACACCAGCGTTAATAGGCTTGTAGACGGAGCATGCACCGTCTACAACGACCTTGATGCTCCGATCTGCAAGGAAGCTGGTGATCCTATTGCACAATTTCTCGGGAAGCCAATAGGAAGGGAGCTTCGAAAGAAGCGCTTTGTGCCAAACCCGATCGAAGGCCTTCGCAATGTCCAAACTAACAACCAACGGCTCCCCCTTGAACTCTACTGCCTCCGCCCATCTATGGGTCAGGTAGACCAGAAGATCACAAGCTGATCGATCCCGACGAAAACCGTATTGGCGGTCACTAATCAGCTGGTGATCCTCAAGGTAACGCATGAGCTGGCAGTTAATAATGAATTCCATTATTTTGGAGAACAAGGAGGTGATCGCGATAGGCCTATAGTTGGACGGGTCTGAGCGGTCGCCTTTTTTAGGGATCGGGTGGACAAAAGCTGTCTTTCATGAATTCGGGACTACGCCTTGGGGGTAGGAGTACCGGAAAAGACGCGTTAGGACCGATGCCAACTTCGGAGCACACGTCCTCAGCACAATTGGGGGATTCCGTCAGGCCCACTCGACTTCTGGATGTCCAGGGAGAGGAGTGCTTTGCGAACCGAGCGCTGTGAGAACAGCACATCCGGCATGGAGCACTCACACCGCGGGATGGTCGGCGGTGTTTTCCCCCCGTCATCAAGAGTCTAGTTGGACGCAAAAAGGGAGTCTTAAAGGTCGGCTTTGTCTTTTGTGGCTTGGGCCAGTGAGTCGTCCTCCCTGTGCAGAGATGGTAGTGATGGCTTACAGAAATTCCCTTGGACAGCCTTGGCGGGAGACCAGAATGCACGGGCTCCCGAAGGAAGGCGAACTAGTTTCTCGCCAATTCTGCCTATGTACTCTGACTTTGCCTTGGCAATAACTCTTTTGAAGGACCTGGAGGCGAAGTTATACTTCTTTTTAAGTGTTCTGGTGTTTACATCCCGAGTCGCCGAAGCCGCAGCCCAGGTTTGATAACACTCCTGCTTACTGCGTAATGCAGTCTTACAGGATAGACCAAACCAAGATCTGCCTCCGATAGGTACCACAGATGATGGAATAAATAGTTCCATTCCCTGTAGCACCACATCAGTGACAGAGTCAGCAACAGCGCTGCGATCATCCGGCGAGAAGCAAACCCGCCCCCATGGGTAGGATGCAAAGAAAAACCGCATTCCGTCCCAATCCGCCGACCTGTAATGCCAAACACGGTGGCAACCTGCAGAACGCAACCGCGAGGGGAGCGTGAGTGGCACCACACTCCTGATCAGACAATGGTCCGAAGAGCCGAGAGTGGCATCGATGGGAACCTGATATCTGTCCGGATAAGAAGTCAGCAGAAGGTCCAACAGGGAAGATCTATGATCCTCCACATCTGGAATCCACGTAGGCGAAGTAACCATTTGTGTCAGACCATATGCCAAGGCAGTTATAAACAGATCTCCCCGCATGATCGGTTAAACGTGAACAGAGCCATTCGGCGTGGTGGGCGTTAAAATCGCCAAGGATCACGACCTCTGCGGATGGGACCTGTTGTAGCAAGGAATCTGTAGCCATTTGGACGTGGTCGATGAGTCGGTCTGTTTCGGCATTACCGCTATGGGACCTATAGAGGCGCCCGTAGACGCGCGGATGGTCGTCGCTGTCTACGCGTAGCCAAAGGATGGACAGGTCCGAACCTTCAAGACTGCCGAGGCGTCGAGAACAGATGTCCTCTCTGACATACACGCAAACTCCAGCCCGAGGCACAAAGGAGTGCTCCAATTTGTACCCCGGGCAGGAGAGATACGAAGTATCAGCCGGAGAGGACACCTGCGTCTCGGTCAGAAAGAGCAAGGTCGGCTTCGCCGTCTCGAGATGGTAGTGGACGGCGTTTAGGTCCGAGTGAAGTCCCCTGATGTTGCAGAAATTCACGGATAGTGTGGCAGGGGTCGCCTTGGTATTGTTGTTCAGTTTGCCCCGAGCAGTTATGTTTTTGAGGGGAATTTTGCCCCCCCCCCCCCCTCCCCCCCCAGAATACGCGGAGCAGCCTGAGCACCCATGCTCAGGAGTGGAATAACATGGTCGTGGATGCCCAGCGAGGGAGTCTTCAGGGGTGCTGGTACCCTCCTGGAGTAGTCTTTCGTGTAATTCTGTGAGGTTACGTGCAACAGCAAAAACTGCCGCGTGGCTTTACCACCGTTAAACAAACCTACATTCAATTTACTTTATTAATGAACAAAGTAAACAAGTACCCCCAAATAGAATAACAATAAATCTTTGAATATGACATACAGTCCACAGGAAAATATGGGTTAATGGAATTCTCTTACTGTCTTTTATTGATTTGCTTATTTTTTTGCAGGTAGTCCACATTACACACAGAAACCGTACCTCATGACACCAGTCCCGAGGATCACAAAGAAGTCCCCAGTGTCACCTGAGAAATACTACACAAATGTTCACAGTCAAACGCATCAGTCTGTAACGGATACCATTAAGCACCTTAAATCTCGATGGAAATGTTTACAGGCAACTTGCAACAAACAGTTTGATCCCCAGACAGTGTCAATGTTGATCGTAGCTTGCTGTGTGCTTCATAATATTTGCAACAGACAAGGCCTTCCTGTAGTACCAATGACACAAACCGAGGAGAGGCTTGAGGCCATGAAACAGAAAGTGGCGAACAGTCCGATATCAAGGAAGCAAGTAGAAGACCCGAAGGGAGTGCAAGCTAGAGCGATATTAGTTGATAGATTATGGAATGAGCGTAGAATCGCTCCAGAGTCCTGCGCTGGACCGAAGAAACGTCAGAAGAAAGATAAAGTTGTGGAGAGTCATCCGCCTCAGATGAACCATCAGCAGATGATGCAGCCTCAAATGCATCATGAAGACCCGAGTAAAAGACCGAGAATTGTAATGAATAATCCAACGTATTGTTTAGGAATGGCGCCAGGGTGGGGGCATTATCCCCAAATTTAAGTCTATCAGTATTAAAATATATATAGGGTGTAATAAGGAGGGTTGGATCATCTGAAGTATGCGATGGGGGATCTCAATGACTGTCAATTTATTATTATTTTTATTATATGGCAATGGGCGAACAGCTTATAGCTGATATGCCTATATTTGTGTTGGTGTTTTATATTAGACCAAATCCACACTAAGAACACACTAAATTGGATTGTCTTTACACCATTTGTACAGTTTGTTTTTAATACTAATCACAGAGGGAGCATCTACCACATCTTGAGGCAACTTGTTCCATAATATGTTTATGATTCTGTTGTATAGTGTGTGACACTTCACATTAGTGTATGAGCAGGTGTGAGCCAATCTCATATAGTGGGGATGTCTAGGTCGGTGGATACGGCTGATGTAAAGTATGTGGCAGCCTCTTTGCAATTATATATGTTTGACCCTAATGCTCTGCAATATTGTTTGGTTTAAAAGTTGTTTGAAGATTTGGCAAATTTGAGTTGAGATCGAAATTTAATTTGGAAAATTAATATCTGAGGGATGACCACGTAGTTGTGCCATTTGCTGCAGAGACTATCAGTCGCCGCCGACGACGCTACACTATTTTTTTATTTTTTTTTTATTGATAGAACCACCAACGGAATAACATGTTGTTTTAAAAAAAATGTGACAATAGGCTTAGGAACTAAGATTTACATGTTTCCATTTAAAGGTAGTTACAGCATGTTTAAAAAAGACGTTAACTGTACGATAACTTAATAATTGTTACAAGTACGAGTAATATACTAATATAAAACAAATAAAACACAATAAGGACAATACGAAATATATGAAAATTAAAAATATATAAAAATAACAACATTTATATCGGGTTTATATAAAGTTATGGTATAATTTTTACTATGAGTTATTAAATAGATTGACAATTTTGGCTCTAAAAGATTTTATACTATCGCTAAATAAGTCAATAGTCTTATCTTTAAGGACACATTCGTTATACAATCTGCTTATTCTCGGTATAAGAGAGTGATGACCAAGATTAGTTTTATACAATTTGTGTTTGAGTAAGGGAATCGAAAAACGCGGTACACGGCAGGGAACTTTGAACAATATTTGTGATAGTAATTCTGCAGAATCTATAGTCCCATTTGTAAGCTTGTACAAAAAAACTAAATCATGTAGTTTACGTCTGTCCGAAAGTGAGTTTAATTTTAGTTTTAGGAGACGAGTGGATTAGGATTCCATATGATTACCACTAGAACAATATTGAGTGAATCGTCTTTGAATGCTTTCTATACGATCTTTGTGTATTTGATAATTAGGGCTCCATATGATGGTACCATACTCTAATTTACTTCTAACTAAGGAAGTGTTAAGAAGATTTTTTGTTTTGATTTTTTTAAAACATTTTGAATTCCTGTATAAAAACCCGAGCATTTTGCGTGCCGATCTATAAATATTTTCAATGTGAATATTAATTCTTAATTTAGCATCAATTGTAATTCCTAAGTCTCGGATGGATTCAAGCTTCTGAAGTGGATTATTGTTCAACGTGTATTGGGTTTCTGATGCAGTATGCTTACGCGTAAAGTTGATATATGAACATTTAGAAGCGTTGAGATCCATGCCATTTAACTTGCTCCAACGAGCAATTACTATACCGCGGGGAGGACTGTATAATAATTATAGATTTTAGTTTTAGTTTTCTTCATTACTATAATAAATATTATATATTACAGTATGCTTTGATTCTTGCAGATATATTATTTAGTTTAGATTAGTGTTTTTTTCTAAATATAAAAAAATCATATAATACTACGCCATCTAATCAGTCGGCTAGAGCGTTGTTAAGGGTGCATTTGCAAATCGGGCCAAATTATGCTGTTTTTCGGTACATTTTGTGACAAAACTAAACCAAATCAAATATAACTAATAACTACAACGTATAGAATGGTTCTTTATCTTCAAATGGTGGTAACTTTTTTGTTGAAAATAATAGTTTTTTTACATTGTAATAAGGATCTTCCCTAGCCATTTAAAAAAAATAACGATACCAGCTGATGTTTCGGTACATTTTTTGTTCTATTATCAACATATATTAAGATTTCTAAAAATACTGTAAGTAGGCGGACCTATTCAGTAAAAAATGCTGGTGTTTACTTTTTATCAAAATGTCACAAATGGTCGTAAAAAAAATAAAAACTGATGCTTATTTTTTGACATATTTTGCTGATACGGATGAATCCTAATGGATTGTAATAAGGGTTATTTTATTTTTAGTGCCTGTTTTGATTTGTTGTACAAAAATTTCGATGAAACCACAGTCGGCGCTCGGCCGCCATCGCGGGTGGTTGTTGTATCGCCTGCAGCAGCTGATTAAGATCGCTGTACAAACACAAAATATTTGAATTTGATAAATAGGTACCTGACCTGACAAAGTAAAGTAATACATATGTAATATAAATATATTTTTATAATCACAAATTCTTATTATAATGTTTTGTTTCGCTAAAAGCAAGTGGGATTTATAATATATAAATATATATAAATCATATTCGTCTTGGACTTTATGGAGTGATCTGCAAGTATACGGTGAATGCTACTAGAAGCCCAAACTCGGCACACCTAGTTCTACTCGTCCAGGAGTTCTAGTAGTAGTCACTGAAGTACACCATCAGGTCTGTCCATCAAGTCCGGAGGTAAGGTCTCGTCATAACTAACAAAACTAGCCTAAACTCTGCACACCTACTTCTACTCGTCCAGGAGTTCCAGTAGTAGTCACTAAATTACACCATCAGGTCTCTCCATCAAGTCCGGAGGTAAGGTTTCGTCATAACTAACAAAACTAGCCCAAACTTGGCACACCTACTTCTACTCGTCCAGGAGTTCCAGTAGTAGTCACTAAATTACACCATCAGGTCTCTCCATCAAGTCCGGAGGTAAGGTTTCGTCATAACTAACAAAACGAGCCCAAACTCGGCACACCTAGTTCTACTCGTCCAGGAGTTCTAGTAGTAGTCACTGAAGTACACCATCAGGTCTGTCCATCAAGTCCGGAGGTAAGGTCTTGTCATAACTAACAAAACGAGCCCAAACTCGGCACACCTACTTCTACTCTTCCAGGAGTTCCAGTAGTAGTCACTAAATTACACCATCAGGTCTCTCCATCAAGTCCGGAGGTAAGGTTTCGTCATAACTAACAAAACGAGCCCAAACTCGGCACACCTAGTTCTACTCGTCCAGGAGTTCTAGTAGTAGTCACTGAAGTACACCATCAGGTCTGTCCATCAAGTCCGGAGGTAAGGTCTTGTCATAACTAACAAAACGAGCCCAAACTCGGCACACCTACTTCTACTCTTCCAGGAGTTCCAGTAGTAGTCACTAAATTACACCATCAGGTCTCTCCATCAAGTCCGGAGGTAAGGTTTCGTCATAACTAACAAAACGAGCCCAAACTCGGCACACCTAGTTCTACTCGTCCCGGACTTCCAGTAGCTGTCACCCAAGTATACCTTCAAGTCATTTCACCAAGTTCGGAGCTGAAGTTATCATAACTAACAAAACCAGCCCAAAGTCCACAGCCAACATCTCACTCCCAGTAGAGGGCTTCTAGTGCCTAGATGTCAATGAGGCAGCCATTTATATTTCGTATCTACGTATATTTTTGTAGTTATAAGAAATATAAAAAAAAAACCATCTTGCAAATTATCAAAATGTTTATACCTTGATTGCGATTCCCGCAGCTAACCGTGCGTACACTTGTGTGTGTGACCCGTGTCAATGTAATAGTTCGATTCTATACCTATCAATTTTGTAAAGAGTGAGACTGAAATAAGCTTCCCCGTAGATTGCGTCATAGAGAAATATTTGCTACAATTGCCACAATTGCCGGGCGGGTTAGCAACCACTGTTTTTATTATTATTTTTAGCTGTTATCAAAATGCTGCTGCTCTATTCCTGTTTCCGTTTCCCTCTGTGACTTAGAACTAAACTTACTGAACACAGCATAGTTAACATTATACAGAATTATACAGGTTGTTAGGCGTCTGGACCGACAGGATATTTAAATTTTTTTACCCTTTCCAACGAATTGCTATATAGGATTTTAAATATTAAACGTTTTTAGCTTGAAGGAATTATAACAATTTAGCATATATTCACATTATTTTTACGCTAGAGCAATGATGTTAGCTGTTTTAAAAATTATGTCCACTATTTAAGTTTTTTTTTTAAATAATTATAAGTCAATGCTTGATTATCATCCCACATGTTGGTATGTGGTGTTATGTATCCGATGATGAGAAAACATACTATCTTAGTTTAGCAAGAGCCTATTAGCCTTTGAGACACCCACATTACTATCGGATGGAAACAAAAAAAAAGTTTAAAACGTATCAAGTCGAAGTGTTATCGTTGTGTTGTGTCCCAGTATTGCACCTCGAAAGAATTACTGTTTTATACAGAAACGAGAAGAGGTCTGTGCCCAACAGATTTTAATCACTGCAGCTAAGAATTCCAAATTCTATCTCGAACTTGAAAAATAGTAATTGTACTAAATTAAAAAAAGACGTCAATTACCATAGAAAGTGAGAACTTTTAAACATACGTCACAAGGGTCGAATCGGTATTAAGTTTCTCTATCGTCGTTTTGAAACGATCCATCTTCCTTGTTACATTGTGTATATAACTTGTAAGCTATTATTAAATAAGATTTTTCAGAACGAACCTATTACTGAATTTAATTTACGTTTTATATTTTATTATAGTGCCCTGCTCATTATTTTGAGTGAATCATAGTTATTATTGTAGATTTTATTGAAATAATTGTAAAAATCAATATATGAATTGAATTGTCGGAAACTTGTTTTTCATTGATTAGATTTTTAAGATAGTTGATAGAATCAGGCGTTACTTTGCGGAAATCCATTATAATGGGGTTGTTATAATTAAGCAAATTAGTTTATAACAACCCGATTAGATATTTCCTATGACTCGGTTCAGAAGACATTGGCAGGCGGATTGGTAGTGGCAGTGCCAAAAGTTTTACGTTTTAATAGGTTTTCCTTTTATATAACAGCTTAAATGGCCTACCAGTTTTCAAAGGCGTAATACATAATAATCAAGAAAGTAATACATCAAGAAATAATAGTCAAGTATTTTATTTCTCCTTTATTTTATTTGATCCAAATACTCCAACCTATATCTAATTGGAGATCGAGATCGAGTACCTCTTACATAAAGGTAACAACATGACAATGTTCACCTTTCATTATATATAAAAATTACGTGTGTCATATTGTTTGTCCGTCATGAACTCTGAAACCACTCAACAGATTTTAATGAAATTTTGCTTGCTTCAACTTGAGAGAGAATAGTTTTATCCCGATAAGTGACCCTCAATATTTTTTACTGTGCCTATTGCGATTGGTGTTTCGGCTATTTTATAGTCCACTAGGACGAAGAGCTCACTCGGATTCTCGAGTTAACCAAGAAGAGCCATCATACATTCCCGTTTGAACAATGACGGCGACGATTTTGTGGCGCAGTATTTGTATGGCCTACAAATAATTGTTTCGGGTCTGGATGTGTGTCCATGTGCCATTAATATTTGTAAATTGCCTCCTCGATACAGGAAAAAATCCTAGTGTTAAAAAAAGTTAAACGTTTTAAAATAAGGAAAAAAATGTCATTCGCCCCTACCATTCTATTTATCAGTTGATTGACGGCGGCGCAACATCTCTCTCTGTATCTGAACTATTTTCCCAATTTTAATTATATAACTGAAAGTTAACTGTGGTGGTCCCACTGAGCTTATAATGCACGGATAGACGTTTGGCGGCTCGGCAAAGAAGGTTGAAGGTGAGTGCCCCAGGCGAAAATCTAGGCCAGCTCCGCTGACTATCGACTAACATTTACTCTAAAAAACAAACTTTCCATTCCCAGACTGGATATTCTTTAATGGTTAGACCAGGTTCAGATTATTGAGGAGGTAAGGCCAACATTTTAAAATCACATATTAAATTTCGTCAAGATATTAATATATTTCTTCTTGGATAATCAGAAGATAAATTATAAATGATGGAAAAGTTTTTTCTTTATTTCGTCGACTGTTACGACCGTTGTCCGTTCAAAAAAGGGAGGATTATGCCAAATGAGGCTGTGTTTAGTTACCGTATCATAGACTATATTATTTACGGTAAATGTGTAACGGATATGAAAAAGGATGCGTTCATAACAAATATTATGGCCGTGTTTAGGTACCCATATTTTAGATAAAATTACATATAACAACATAGCAACGATAAAACAATACTACTAATCTTTGTGATAGGTACTCAAATTCAATTAAATCAATTTTGTGCTTTTATTGTTACAAAATTAATTTAATTGAATTTGAGCATCACAAAGATTAGTAGCAGAGAGAACACTCCAATACTCGCATACAGATTTTCTGCGCTTTCTCAGCCCCCTTTTTTACTGAAAATTCAGATGACGCGTTATCTGTTTGTAGGACAGTAAAGACTGTTGACCAGGCTACACCAGGGATTGATTGCGGTTAAGGTACGAGGTTACGCTACTGGTACAAAATATTGATATCGCAATTTTTTGAAGGTAGACCGAAAGTGGTTAAAAATCACAGATAACCGGTATAAAATAACGGTAGCGCTATTTTAAGGGGTTTTATTACAACCTTTACATAACCGAAATTATTTCGGTAACGAAATATCGCGCGGCGCGTATGAGTACGACGCGACGTTGCAAGTTCTTTCACTGAGAGCACAGCTGTAGCGTCGCTAAGTCGCTGAGATCGGAGCGGGGAATCCCCGCTGAGGTCGGCCGCGAAAGTCCGTCAGGTACCAGTCACCCACACGACCACACGGATATCGAAATGGACATCGCTTACACTCGCTATCACTTCGATTCGCCTCGCCAATTTCATACCTAATAATTTTAATAAAATTATAATGGGAAGAAAAGGAAAGAACGCTGTGTACGCTTTCTTTTCTTTTGACAAAGAGGCAAGAACTTCTACCTGGTTAGTCCCTTTTTATAGAGGAGGGTGCAAACGATATACGACTCACCTGATGCTAAGTGACTACCGCCGCCTATGAACAACCGCAACACCATAGGAATGGCAGGTGCGTTGTCGGCCTTTTAGAAAAGAGTAAGCTCTTTCCTTGAAGGTCCTTAAGTCGTATCGGTCCGGAAAAATCGCCGATGGTAAACAATTCCACAGAGAAGTTGTGCGAGAAAGAAAATTCCTAGTAAGACGCACAGTGGTGGACCGCCAAGCATCCAGATGGCGAGGATGGTATCGTTAATTTTGAGGTGATGTGCGTTCGTGAAATTTGGCAGCTGGAATTAACTCGAACAATTCCTCAGAGCACTCCCCGTGGTAGATGCGATATAAAATGCAAAAGACTGCAACATCCCTACGCAGCGCCAGTGAATCGAGCCGATCAGAAAGAACTCGGTAGTCGACGATTCGAACCGCTCTGCGCTGAATGCAGTCAAGTGGAAGGAGCTAGCACTGGGGTGCCCCGGCCCAGAGATGAGAACAGTATTCCATGTGAGGCTGAACTGGCGCTTTGTAGTTACAAGCGATGTGCCGGCATGAAATACTGTCCCGCTCTGCTGATCATGATAAGCTTTTTAGAGGCCAATTTGGCCTTCCCTTCCAAGTGACCACGAAACTGCACACTATTCGATATGTCGACACCTAGGATTCCGATGCTAGCTGAGGCAGCAAGGGGAGTGCCTTAAAACAGAGGAGACATGACAAAGAGGTTCTTTTTAGCGGTAAACGCGCAAACTTTTGTCTTCTGGGGATTGAACTGGACTGGGATTTAGTCAATCAGAGACTGTGCAGCAAAGACGACTTCAGACACAAGTTTGTCCCGGTACTCGACGACGTTTTCCCGAGAAATAGTGGCACGGCTAGTGTATAAGGCGTCACCAGTGCTGTCGTCTGCATAGCAATGAATGTTACCAGCTTGCAACATATCATTGTTATGCAGAAGAAACAGCGTTGGTGATAGAACGCAGCCTTGTGGAACATAGAAAGGGAGCTACGAAAGAAGCGCTTTGTGTCAGACCCAATCGAAGGCCTTCGCTATATCCAAACTAACGGCCAATGCCTCCCCCTTTGACTCTACTATCTCCACCTATCTATGAGTAAGGTTTTTTTTATAGGATAAGGGTGACAAACGAGCACACAGTCCACCTGATGGTAAGTGGTTGCTGTGGTCCAGACATTTACAATTATCCTCGATTACGAATCAAAATGCAGATGCGTTGTCACCCGTGAGGACTAAGATGGAATGCCTCGTTTCCAGTAAAAAGGGTCTCCGGTTCTCTACACTCACCATACGAAACACAGCAGCATTAAGCTGCTATTTTACGCTGGTATTCTGTGAGAGCGTGGTCCTTCCCTGGTCGAGCCGACCCATTCGTGTTACAACTATACCAGAAATATAGCTGCAGCATGGGTCTACCACGTATTTAGGTAGATCAGAAGCTGGTGATCCTCAAGGTACCTCATGAGCTGGCAGTTTATAATGGACTCCATTATTTTGGAGAACAAGGAGGTGATGGCGATAGACCTGTAGTTGGACGGGTCTGAGCAGTCGCCTTTTTTAGGGATCGGGTGGATCAAAGCTGTCTTCCTGAATTCGGGACTACGTCTTGGGACCAGCAGTATCGGAAAAGACGCGTTAAAACCGGTGCCAACTCCGGAGCACACGTGTTCAGCATAATAAAACGGGCTCCATCAGACCCACTCGACTTGTTAACGTCCAGGGAGAGGAATGCTTTGCGAACCGAGCGCTGTGTAAACCACACATCCGACCTTGCCTTGGCAATGACTCTTTTGAAGGACCTGGTGGCGGAATCATACTTCTTTTTAAGAGCGCTGGTGTTTACATCCCGAGCCATTGATGCGTCAGCCCAGGCCCGGTAGCACTCTTGCTTATAGCGTGATGCTATTTTACAGGAGCGACCAAGCCATAGCTGGGTTCTGCCTCCGATGGATACCACCGAGGATGGAATAAAAAGTTCCATACTCTGAAGACTCATATCAGCGACAGAATCAGCAACTACGCTGGGATCGTCTGGCGAGAAGCAAACCGCCCCCAAGGGTAGGATGCAAAACAAGAACGCATCCTATCCCGATCGGCCTACTTATAGTGCCAAACACGACGACAGCCTGCAGAATGCAACTGCGACTTTAGTATGAGTGGCACCACACTCCGGAAAAGACAATGGACCGAGGAGCCAAGAGAGGCGTCGACAGAAACCTGATATCCGTCCGGATGAGAGGTCAGCATAAAGTCCAACGGGGAAAGTGCGTGATCCTCCACATCTGGAATCCACGTAAGCGAAGTAACCATAAGCCAAATGTAAGGCCATATGCCAAAGCAAAGTCATAAACAGATCTCCCCGCATGATCGGTTAAACGTGAACCGAGCCATTCGGCATGGTGGGCGTTAATATCGCCAAGGATCACGATCTCTGCGGATGGGATCTGCTGTAGCAAGGAATCTGTAGCCATTTGGACGTAGTCGATGAGTCGGTCTGTTTCGGCATTATCGCTATGGGACCTATAGAGGCACCTGTAGACGCGGGGATGGTCTTCGCTGTCTACGTGCAGCCATAGGATGGACAGGTCCGTACATTCAAGACTGCCGAGGCGTCGAAAATAGATGTCCTCTCTGACGTATACGCAAACTCGATATGTATCAAGATGTTTATTTTAAACCAACTAACCGCCCCAGCTTGGCCTGGGTAAGATCTATTAATGTGACATTGTTTAGATTTAAGATTATTAGACATATTTTAACAATTTTTCGTTTTATCAA